AATATTGTATCCACAACAACCCCAAAATTGATTATAGGCATAACGCCTCCCTGGACCACACAGCCACATACACAGCATCAACAATTAAGGTATACATTTTAACATCTATTTCATATATATATATATAGCGATTCAGCATTATAATTTCATTGTCATATCCAGTCTTGTGTCCGTGCACCGTGGGTCCAGCCTTCTACACGTTTTGCTTAAAAAAGCTTCCTCAGGAAGATAAGAGTCTGCCTGCAATATTTGAATGCCATGGGTATAAATACGTCTGTCTATAAGGATACATACTTTTACATCACATAATAGTAATCGTTGAAATATAAATAACCATTGAAATAAATAATGATAAATATATAAATAAACCTTGGCCATAATATGGTAATTTCCAGATATCACATTTGACTAAGAAAGTTTGTTTCTCTCTTCATTGGCACAGAATGAACATTTACAATTTTTTGCAAGATAAAAGGCTCTGCAAATTGTTCATTGATAAATACACCCCTAGGTGACACCTGAGAGGGTTTGTGTTATTTGGTACTTGTTTGTTTGGAGTGTGGCTGAAATGATTTTAGTTCCTATTCAATGTTAAAAATACTTTTTGATGCAGCAGAATGTCTCCTGTGTCCTGACTGTCTTTTAGGTGCCAAGTCCATAAAGCACCAACCACAATAGAAGATTACAGTGTGATACCTGGCCATTCTTTGATGCCTTCCTTAGTAGACTGTGTTTGCTACAGTTGGACGCTATCACGTATTGTGCTCCTGTCTGCCAACAAGCAGCTGTTATGCGACACATAAAAAGTGTATGGCTTCACAATAGAGGGCAAAGGATCTACTGTGTCAATAAAGTCTGTGTAGGATTAGGAGAATATGAATATGTTCTGTATATAAACCAATCTGATCAAGCATCTAGACATGTAACATAGTAGATTAGTTGCTGTAAAAAAGACTGTACATACGTATTTATCTTATGTCTATTGTCTGTGGTAATGTAAGAATAATTTAAAATAAAAAAAAGTATTTGTGGACTTCAATACCCTCTACAGCCAAAGGTCTTGGTGGCCCTTCTATCATTTGGCAGACGCAAAACAAAATCGCAGCACCGTCCCACACAAGAGTTTGGGTGACCATAAACGAGAACAATGAGCCATGATCTCTCAAACCTCCCATGAATCACCTGTGCCTTAATAGCCCCTGCGATTCTTGCCACATTGTGAAGAAACAGAATGTATAGTGATAACTGGCATGTGCTGAATGAATGAATGTATTACATTAATGTGCTGTTTTCCTTGTTGTGCAATCACAGCCTGGGGGTGGGTTTGTGACCAAGTTGTATTTCTTTACAGCAGTAAGTGAGGTCCCTGACTTGGCGGTGTTGTTTGGCAGGATAGTCTGGATCCCAAGACTGGCTGAACCGAATTATCACAGGGAAGGTAAAATAGTTCATATGTGTATTTGTGCATGTTTGGATAGTTGTCTGGGTTCCAGCTTTAAAATGGAACAGTCTGGGGATGCATTATTACATAATCTACAGAAAGTTTTGGGAAGCCTTGTCCTACAGGATGACAGACCCTGGTGCGCTGAATGCCCTGAAGTATTCAACATTGCTAGGATGGAAAACCATAACATTTCCAGGAAAGGTTGGCTGAGCTCCCAGTACATATATCCAAGCTATAGCACCAACAGTGAACCTTTGCCTTCATGCTTTTGTTATCAGAGTCATTGCTTAATTTTATGCTGAATCTTTGGCCTTTGGACAGAATTATACAATGCGATCTTCTTTGTTTCAGTCACTGTGGTTTGATCTGCTGAAACAGTTTAAGGTTCAGATTCTCCTCTGTCTTCTTTCTTTCTCTTCTGCTCAATTTCCATTGTTTCTTATGTGGCTCACATTGGCTTCATTTTACACTTGCTGTAAGTAAAAGGCAGCAGCAAATCAGTTTATTGTTCTGTGATCAGCATAAGAATAACAGTGGGGCAGAGAACTTGGAGCCTCACTCGGCTTGTGTCTTATTAAGAGAGACAAAGCCTGCATTGCTGGCAGATCAGCTCAGAGGAGGCTTCGGTGTGCGACAGATGAAGACCTCTCAGAGGTGACACAGGGAACTAACTTTCCAGTTTGGCTATGTTGTTGATCCGTTGGTTTCAGAAAAATGATTGCAATGTGCAATGTGGAGTGTATAGGAACAACTCAAACACAGATATACCCCCCCTTTTGTTCTGTATGTAAATGAAAGTTCATGAAATCACTAATTTTGGGCAGCTTGGTATTCTAGGAACACCGCCTCTTGAGCCGTGTTTATATACAAGCTAGGTGTCCCAGATCCAGCCATTTTGCAGCCCAAGCCATGGAGGTTGTGTAACACTCAATACAATTACTGTATGTTTGGAGACATTTCACCAACAGCACACGAAAAGCTGAAGAGGATCCAAGTTTGAGTTTTACTCTAAAGTGTATCTTCACCCCAAACTTTTTTTTCTATAGAGTGATTTGAAGGATTACAACCCCTTTCAAGTTTTACTGCCATCGGAGGCTCGATTTCGAGATATTTTTTACTTTCTGTCTGGTTTAAAGGTTGTTCCCAGCGGAAATGGACTGGGGATGGCCAAGAATAGTGTCCTTAACCATCACCCCAGGTTTGCAGTGCTTTGTGTTTACTGTCTGGTGTATATATATAATGATCTTGTGTTTGTTATAAAGATGTTGAATGGATAATGGTGTAACATAACACTTCTTTGTGGCACACATATTGATGGCATTTCTTTTCTTTGTTATCTTGTATTTGAAAATTGAATTAAATTTACATGGAAAAAAGGTTGTCCCCAGGACAGGAAGTGAGGGGGAATCTGTTTAAGGACCAATACAAATGATGCACTGATAGTGTGAACCCAGCCTTATAGCAACTCAGACAGAAGTAAAAATGCCCCTTTCCTCTTTTTGCCCCTTTGAGATTATTGTTATTAATTTCCCTGGTGCAGATTTTCCCTCACTTCCTATCTGCTAAAATGTTGTCCCAGGATTGAAAGTGAGGGTACATTTCTTTAGCACAGCAGAAAAACCTGACAGGAGTTCTAACTTCTCCCCATTCTATCCAAAGCTAGAATATAAAGTTTAGGCTATAAATACACTTAAGGCAATACAAGCCTCTGATTTAGGTAAATATTTGGAACAGACAGATAAATATTGTATAATAGGATTTTATTAAAAACATCCTGCTGAAAGGAAATGGCTGGATCTTAAGGTGCCCACACACCTTACGATAATCGTACGATAATCACGGGAAATTCCGCGATCGTACGATTATCGTAAGGTGTGTGGAAGCCGTTGTGACCTCTACTACTGTAAGGTCGCATGACTTTTAACTTATGGACATGTTCGAAAACCCGCCGAGCATCGTGCAATGTTCAGCGGGTGTGTAGCATGTTCGTAAGATAAAAGCCGGACGGGCCGGCATTGCGGTCATCGGAAGCCCGCCCCTCAGGGGGGCGCGGCTTACGATCATCGCAAGTACGATCTGCCTGTCCAAGATAGGCAGATTGTACGTTTTTTTAATTACCTTACAACCATCGCAAGACAAAAGTCTTGCAATGGTTGTAAGGTGTGTGCCCAGCATTAAGTGAACAGTGGTGGGTCTGTCAAATGGAGCTACTCAGCAAATAGGTAACCAATACGAAGTTAAAAAAAGAGCTCAGCATTCGCATTCGTTCTTTATAAACAATCCCGTACATTTTTAAGAATTAATAAAAATGATGTGTTAAAAGGGAAAGCCATAATATTTAAGTTTTATACCCCCAAATAAGATAAGGTTTATCTTCCTCGTCACCAGTCACAGTTATCACTGCGGGATATTAACCACTTGTACATAATGATATCGCAGGACTAATTCCCTCCACCACGCATAATTATACCCAACCCTGTCTTCTGCGGACAAAGCCATCCTGTTATTTTAAGCAAAAAAAAAAAAGTTGCTGTTCATTGGAGGATATGATAGAGAATTCTGCTACAGGCTTTTGTCTAATAATTACCTACATTTTCATATTCCCTGGAGCCTGAGCAGGATTTATCCATTGCTAGCATCAATGAATATTTAACAAGTCTAGAAAAACTAGTCTGAATTGATGATGGAGAAATATGAGGCAGCCTGGATGCTGCTATTAATACGGCTCGTTAGATGTGGCGGCTTTGATGCGCTCTTATTGTAGAGTTATGTACTGGAAGCAGATGTGGGATATCATGTCACACAGCTGTCCCACGCGCTTCATGTCATCCCTGTTATTAGGCTTATTCTAGCCACAGAGGTATTTCACCTTTGTTCAGGTTTTTTTTAGAATGGTTTTAGCTGCAAGTGTGCTTTTGCATTCTTTCACTTCGATCAAATATCTGATAGAAAAATCAAGGAGAAAAAAAATTGATTAATACTCCTACACAACTATTGGATCACCTTATGACCTTATTGGAAATGTTGCGTGAAAGGATTGATTTAAAAAAATCAAACACTTCAAAGCCCATCAAAATTTCTTTTTAACCCCCTGAAATGCTCCAAAATATTCCCTCTTGTATGCCTAAAATGTCAAAGGATTGTCTTCTTTTCTTCTAACCACATGAAAAAAGCACAGGTGCAGTAATGTTTTGCTTGGCAATGGCATTGATTTAAAGCTGAATTCCAGGCAGATTATTATTATAATACATGATTTATATAGCTCCAACAGTTTGCGCAGCGCTTTACGAAACTGAGGGAGACAATACAATTAACAATACAATTTCAGTACAGGAAGTAGGAGGGCCCTGCTCATGAGAGCTGACAATCTAGTAGGAGGGGCAAGTGATACAAAAGGTAATCACTGTTTGGGATGATTTAGTGGAAGAGCTGAAAGTACTGTTATATCGAGGTGGAATAGGCGTTCCTGAAGAGATACGTTTTCAAGGATCGCCTAAAGGTGGACAGAGTAGGAGATCGGCAGACAGATTGGGGGAGGTAGTTCCAGAGGATGGGAGACACTCTGGAAAAATCCTGGAGGCGAGCATGCGAGGAGGTGACAAGCGAGCTGGAGAGTAGGAGGTCTTGGGAAGAACGAAGGGGGCGGTTTGGGTGAGATTTTGAGATGAGGGGGGTGATGTAGGTTGGGGCGTTGTGGCTTTGTAGGTTATTGCGGGGCGGAAGGGGGGTTTGGCGGACACTGATCGGTTTCAGTTGGTAAGGTGGATGAGTCTGGCAGCAGTGTTCATGATTGCCTTGAAGGGGGGATAGCCTGCTTAGTGGTAGGCCAACAAGGAGGGAGTTACAGTAGTCGAGGCGAGATATTACAAGGGTGTGAATAAGAAGCTTTGCGGTATCATTTGTTAAGAAGGGACGGATTTTGGGAATGTTACGACGATTGGGTCTGCAAGATTTGGATAGTGATTGGATGTGGGGCTGAAAGAAGAGCTCAGAATCAATGATTACTCCAAGCAACATGGCTTGACGGGAGGGGTTGATTGTAGTGCTGTTGATTGTGATGGAGAAGTCGGTGGAATACGGAGAGGAGGAAATATTAGAAGCTCAGTTTTGGACAGATTTAGTTTGAGTGGTGTGACATCCATGTCGATATGTCAGTGAGTAGGTTAGTGGTGTGAGAGGAGATAGAAGGAGTGAGCTGAGGGGTAGAGAGATATATTTGGGTGCCATCAGCATAGAGCTGGTAATGGAAGCTGTAGGAGGTTAATGTTATCAACTAACCCAGGGTGTAGGTGTAGATAGAGAATAGAAGGGGCCCACGGACAGAGGAAGAGTAGAGGAGGAAGTAGAGTTATAGGTGACACTGGAGGTGCGCTGGGATAGGTAGGAGGTGAACCATGAGAGAACAGAGCCTTGGAGGCCAAGGGATTGGAGTTAATTGAGGAGGAGTGGGTGGTCAACTGTGTCAAAAGCAGAAAGGTCCAGGAGTATGAGTATAGAGTAGTGGCCTGTGGTTTAAGCGGTTAGTAAATCGTTAGTGAGTTGTAGAAGGGCAATTTATGTGGAGTGTTGCAGACGAAAGCCAGAGTGAAAGGGGCCAAGGAGGTTGTTAGCAGTAAGGTGGCAGCTCAGGCGGTTGTAGACCAGGAGTTCAAGACATTCGGAGCAAGAAGATAGGTCTCAAATTGTTTAGACTTGTGGGCCCCATTGAGGGCTTTTTAAAAATGGGGTTCACCAATGCTTGTTATAGAGGTGTAGGGACGATGCCAGTGGAAAAGGAGAGGTTGAAGATTTGTGTAAGAGATTGTACAATAGAGCTAGAGGGTGACCGGAGTAGTTGTGAGGGGATGGAGTCCAAGGGGCAGGTAGTTAGGTGGGTGTTGGATAAAAGAGTGCCTACTTCATCTGCAGTGACAGGATCAAATGAAGAGAGTATTGAATGTGGTGATACAAAAGACACAAATGAATGCTGCTCTGTATTCATTAATACATGCTAAAATGTATTTTTAGATTCAGTCTGTGAAGTACCTGAAGTACCTGGAAGTGAGAAGCCACACAAGGAGCCAGTCAGTTCTGCTGCAGTGCAAGGAGCATGCTGATAGGAGGACAGACCACAGTGACATGCGAGTAATGAGTTAATCAGTTGGCGTCTTCTCCTTTTATTGTCACTTGCTCAGTGGGAAGGAGAGTTGTATGTGTTACTGAAGTGCAACAAAGAAAACTTTACTGTGTGGCCTGGCTTTGTTAATGTCAGGACTGGATAGACTGAAATACAACCATTGGCATGTAATACAGCTCTTTTATAGTGTATGTATTTTATTTGTGTATTTAGCTGTTTGCCTGGAGTTCAGCTATTATACGGTGCTTGAGCTGGAGATTTACTCTAACGAATTATAATTTCTGACTGTGAAAACTTGCCCTATTTGTGGTTTAATACAGTTGTGCTCAAAAGTTTGCATACCCTGGCAGAAATCTTGAAATTTTGGCATTGATATTTTACAATATGACTGATCATGCCAAAAAACTGTCCTTTATTTAAGGATAGTGATCATATGAAGCCATGTATTATCACATAGTTGTTTGACTCCCTTTTAAATCATAATGATAACAGAAATCACCCAAAATGGCCCTGATCAAAAGTGTACATACCCTGGAATGTTGGGCCTTGTTACAGACACACAAGGAAGGTGACACACACACAGGTTAAAATGGCAATAAAAGTTAATTTCCCACATATGTGGCTTTTTAAATCGCAATTAGTGTCTGTGTATAAAGTTTGTTAGCTCTCACGTGGATGCACTGAGCAGGCTAGATACTGAGCCATGGGGAGCAGAAAAGACCTGCGCAACAAGGTAATGGAACTTTATAAAGATGGAAAAGGATATAAAAAGATATCCAGAGCCTTGAAAATGCCAGTCAGTACTGTTCAATCACTTATTAACCACGCGACAGCAGGGAAGGGGGGGTGCAGTGCAGGGTCATACAAGCGATCAGCCGGCTGTAGAGCTGGCCAAACGCTTGTATGTAACAGCCGGTAAAAGCTGTTTACATTCCCGGTGGGATTGTGCTTGTGCGCGCCCGCTTCCCGCACGCCCACCCGCCGGGAGCCTCCGCCGTGCGCCCATATTTTTATGATGGGCAGGTGGCAAGGGGTTAAGAAGTGGAAATTTCGGGGATCTCTTGATACCAAGTCAAGGTCAGGTAGACCAAGAAAGATTGCAGCCACAACTTCCAGAAGAATTGTTCGGGATACAAAGAAATACCTCCAGGTAACCTCAGGAGAAAAAAAGGCTGCTCCGGAAAAAGATGGTGTGGTTGTTTAATAGAGCACAATATGACAATACTTGAACAAAAATGGTCTGCATGGTCGCGTGGCCAGAAAGAAGCCTTTACTGTGCATATACCACTGTGAAGCTTGGTAGTGGCTTACTGATGTTTTGGGTGTGTGCGAGCTCTAAAGACACAGAGAATCTTGTGAAAATTGATGGCAAGATGGAGGCAGCATGTTTTCAGAAAATACTGGCAGACAATTTGCATTCTTCTGCACGAAAGCTGTGCATGGGACGCTCTGGGACTTCCCAGCACGACAATGACCCTAAGCACAAGGCCATGTTAACCCTCCAGTGGTTACAGCAGAAAAAGTTGAAGGTTATGGAGTGGCCATCACCATCCCCTGACCTTAATATCATCGAGCCACTCTGAGGAGATCTCAAACGTGCGGTTCATGCAAGACAAACAAAGACTTTGCATGACCTAGAGGTATATTGCCAAGACGAATGGGCAGCTATACCACCTGCAAGAATTCAGGGCCTCATAGGCAACTATTACAAAAGACTGCACTCTGTCATTGATGCTAAAGGGGGCAATACACAGTATTAAGAACTAAGGGTATGCAGAGTTTTCAACAGGGGTCATTTAATTGTTTTTATTAGCTGCCATGTTTTATGATTGTGCCATTCTGTTATGACCTACAGTTGAATATGAATCCCATAAGAAATAAAAGAAATGTGTTTTGCCTGTTCACTCAGGTTTTCCTTAAAAATGTTACATATATTACCAATCCTCCAAGGGCATGCAAACTTTTGAACACAACTGTACATTCTGCCTTGTATGCATTACTGGAATGTTTGTGCTTATTTTTAGCTTAGAGACTTTTATCCTGTTTACAATAGAATATCTCATTAATACATTCAGAGACAGATCAGAAGCAGAGCGATAGTCGGGACAGATCGCTGATGTCAGATCAAACAGCTGCATTACAAATGTGTGTCATCTAACAGATTGGAGTTTATACAAAAGCTTTTGTGCTAGAAAACATTAGAGAAACTTTTCTGTACTTTTATTAAATTTGAACACATACAGTAATTACACTGCCATTTTGCATTTCATTGGCTCTGAATGATCATGTTAACTGCCAGGGTTCACTATGTTGGCTCTGGCTTTTACCACATTACATGTCAACTTTTACTATATTAGTTTACATGTGACTTCATCTCACTGCGGGGGTTACACTACAAGTACTAAAAAATTATTGTGGCCTCTACTTCTTAAAACACCAAACTGGTGCTAAAGGCTAAAGGACAATATGCAGGAATATGGTATGTTGTCTGTGTTGGAGTCTCAATAGTCAAAACCATCATGCTGCCAGCATAACGCTCATTATGTTCACCATCATATTAATAATCATGTGACCTCATACTGCCTTACTGCCAATGTTTACTACATTGACTGATGGATCACATAAGCATCATCAACCTGCATCCTTTCATTACATTGGCTCTTGTGAAAGAGACCATGGACTAGGGTATACCTAGGATGTTACCTTACATTTACAGGTCTATTCACTAAAGGGTGAAGAGTTTGGAGAAGGCAGGGGAAGTGAACACTGTACATGGCACTAGCTGGTTATGGCCTGCCCTCTCTGCTGGGTTCAATAACTCTGTGTCTCCCTGGTCTCTACTGCTTAAAAGGAGGATGTACAATTATCCAGTGCAGTCATTTGGGTAAAATGGCCGAGCTCGGCTATTGCACCCAGGGGCTGACTGGCAACTTTTAGCCCAGGGGGCAAGTACAACCCAGAGGCCCATGGTGCGGCAACTTGGCCCACCTCCCGCTCTGCCTCTTCCCCGCATTCTCCCCGCCCCCGTCTGCCACTTTTGCCATCCATGTAACAGTAGTGTGAATGTATTTATGGGTTTAGGAAATGTAAAGCACACTGGTAGGGGAGGGATGCCTCGTCAGGGCTGTGCACGTGCATGACTGCTGCGACCCTAGAAGTTCTGCCACTAATTCAGAAATACATTGTACAGCATTGCAGAATGGCATTGGCTATAGAGAACTACAATTCTCAGCAATACATTACACAACAATGCAGAATACCATCAGCTATAGTGGACTATAAATCACAGCAATAATGACTACCAACAGCTATAGAGAACTACAATCTCCAGCAATACCATTATACAGCAATGCAGAACTGCATCAACTATAGAGAACTACAATTCCCAGCAATACCATTATACAGCAATGCAGAACTGCATCAACTATAGAGAATCTCCACATGGGAAGTCCATGGGTTGATTCCTTTCGAGTGAATAAAATGAAGATTCACTAAAATCTTTTGTTATTTTGTCGTTTCTGGAGTGCTGGTGACATCCATATCCAACGGCTGTACCAGGTAGACGCGGCATGTTAGAAGGCCCCCTGCTGGAGCCTCCCGAGCATCTCCTTGAGGAGCAGCGGCCGCACCATTCAAAGAGCCGCGTCGGATGCGGAGGGCGGGCGGCCGGGTGCAGGTGGCAGCGGCCGGGGGTCAAGGGGCCGTTCGCGGTGGCATCAGAAAGGCCCGGGGGGCAATTGCCACCCTGCCCCCCGGCCCAGTCCGCCCCTGATTGCACCTGATACAACCACCTTACATCATAGAGATGCAGGGCCATTCCGTGTTCTGTCAGACTGCTAAAATGAAGCCCAGGAATTGGGTTTTGCGGAGTAAATGCTATTTTTTATGATCTTTGCACTGCTAAGCTTTCCTTCCTGCCAGCCTGTATAAAAACAGGATATAGCTTGCTGAAATTTATTACCTATCCCTACTCTCTGCTCCGTGATTTATATTTTGATATCTCGAGACTTTCCCCATCATGTAGCCGAGAACTATAGAAGGAAGCAATTCGCAGCCTGGCTGTAAATCCCTCTCAGTAAACAGGCGTTAGGAATATGGTAAAAATGGTTGTTGCAACCTGAGGAGTAGCAGGCATTGTCTGGAATATCAATATTGTACATGCCTCACTCTACAGGACTCTTCCACCAGATGAAGAAAATGCCTTGCTCAACCAGAGATGATCCCATACTAGGAACGAGGCATCAGAAGCTGGTTGCCTATGTCATGGCATTGGCAACCTATAGACTATTACACAAGCAGATGTTATTTAGATTATTGTAGATGTTAACATCCTGGGCCCTGCAGTTCAAGAGAAAGGCTTAGGGCCTGTTCATATGAGATCAGGTCCTGATCAGGTGCTGATCAGCAGACGTGGAGCTGCTGATGCAGTGCGTTTTTGATGCGTTTTCGGTCCGGATGCTGACAGTTAATTTTTTGTCAACGTTGATGACATCATAATAAGTGGAGCAAGAATACCATTTTTTTCTTTTTTTTCCCCCTTAGCTGCATTGCGTTGCGTTTTCATGCGTGACATGCAGTATTTTTTTCTGTCGTAAGCTGAACGGACTGCGCACGTGAGAACTGGAGCCCAGAAAACACATAGGGATACATTGGGATGCATTTTGAGTGCAGCAGCGTACGGAGCCGGTCAGCACACAAAACGGACGTCGTGTGAACAGGCCCTAAAAGTAAAACTGAAGCCAAAACTTTTTGGATAGTGTAAGGGAGGGCTAAAACCCCTGTCAACTTTTTTTCCACGAACTGTGTCCAATAGCAGAGATTATACTTCCCATTCAATACTCACAACAGGAAGTGAGAGGAAATGCAAATACAAATGGTAAATTTCGATAATGGGGACACACACATAATATAAACCTAACATGCTCTAACTTGATCTAATTCTTCTCCACTCTATCCAAAACTACGTTTTGGCTTCAGTTGCACTGTAAAACCTTGGTAAAGTTTTTACTGATCTCTGTGTTCCTGTAGAAGAAATTTCCTCTCACTACCTGTTTTATCACCAGGTTAGGAAAGGAGCAGACGCTGGGAAAGGGACTAAGGATACATTTCTCCAATGAGGACACTATAATAAAAACCTGACAGAGGTTCCAACCTTCCTCACTCTATACCAAAACTAAAACATTTTTGGTTGGAGTTGGGCTTTAAAGTTGTGCTTACAGCCTCACTGGAATGTATTCATACGGAGTAAATAGAAAGGCTGAAATACGTACCTCTCCTGCAGGAAATTCTGCTCTACCTCTTCTTATAATGAAAACCTGGAAATGTGGTCATATATTATCTGCTTAAATGGATTGGCCACACGGAACTTTGATCTTTTGTTTTAACAGAGATCTTGTGACCAAATGCCTAGGCTCTAGGTTAAAGTCTAGCTTTGGATAAAAAAACGGGGAAGGGTTAGAGGTTTTTTTTTTCTTCTGGCCATTGACCATTGTCATTAAAGGGTTATTAACCCCTCCGTTTTTTTTGTGTTTTTTTGCATATATCTACTGCTAGCAAGCAGTAGATATATGCAAAAACTTTTTTTTAAAAGACCGCTTAAAAAGGTTTGAACTTACCTGTGTCTTCGCCGCGCACTCCTGTCCAAAAATCTAAAAAAATCTAGGGGTGTTGCAAAGGATCTTGGGGTGGGCGCATGCACAGTTCAGATTTTCGGCCGGGAGACAAGGAGAGACACAAGGTAAGTCTATGGACAGCATGCACCCGGATGCAGACACTGTGGGACAGGAATTGCCAGCGAGCACAGAGGAATCAGCATTGGATCGGAGACCAGCAGCAGCACTGGAGAGAAGGCTGAAAACGCAGATCGGATTAAGTGACATCATTTAAGGTAAATGCTTACACTAACATTGGGCGGAGGGAAAAAAATGATCCTTTAATATCACTTTAAGTCAGAAAGTGATGGGAAATCTAAAGTTTTACAGTTGTCACTGGGACAGGAGGGGTCTTCCAATGGGGACACTGTTTCAGTGACAACAGTCTGAGAGGAAATCCTTGCACTTCCTGTTGTGCTTCCAGCATAACCAATGGAGGGAAATCTCCCTAGTGGGACACAAATAGCAGAGAAATAATAATATGGTTGACTTGAGATATACCTAAACATTTTAGAATATATACAGGTGAAACTCGAATAATTAGAATATCGTGCAAAAGTAATGGCAGTAATTGCTGCAAAAGGGGCCCAAACCAAGTACTGAGTACATATGCATGCTTGTACTTTTCAGAGGTCCGATATTGTTCTATGTACAATCCTTGTTTTATTGATTGCATGTAATATTCTCATTTTCTGAGATTGTGGATTTGGGGTTCTTGGGGTTTTCATGAGCTGTAAGCCATAATCATCACAATTATGACAAATCACGGCTTGAATTATCTTGCTTTGCATGTAATGAGTCTATCTCATATATTAGTTTCACCTTTTAAGTTGCATTAGTGAAATAAATTAACTTTGCACGATATTCTAATTATTCGAGTTTCACCTGTAT